TGCTGTGGCATCACAGCTCACAGCAACCTCCAACTCCTGGGCTCAAGCGAGTCTCCTGCCTTAGCCTCCCAAGTAGCTGGGACCATAGGCGCCCACCACAACACCTGGCTATTTTTTGGTTGCAGCCATCATTGTTATTTGGCAGGGTGGGCTGGATTCGATCCCACGAGCTCAGGTGTATGTGACTGGTGCCTTAGCTGCTTGAGCCATAGGCGCTGAGCCAAAAAAATAGATTTTTTGATTGTTTTTCTGATTATAAACATTATGGCTCATTTTAAGTAATTCAGAGAATACTGAAAAATGGAAAAGAAGAAGTATAAATCATTTGTAAAGCTGTCGAGAATTGCCAGGCATTGTGGCTGGCGTCTGTAGTCCCAGCTACTCAGGAGGCTGAGGCAAGAGAATTGTCTAAGCCTAGGAGTTAGAGGTTGCTGTGCGCTGTGATGCCAGGGCACTCTACCAAGCGTGACAAAGTCACCCCCCAACCTCCACCTCCAACTCTTGGGCTTAGGTGATTCTCTTGTCTCAGCCTCCGGAGTCTCTAAAAAAAAAGCTGTCGGGGTCGGGCGGGTGTCAGTGCTTGAGAATTCTGACTTAGTTTGAATGCCAGTTGGGAAACAATGCTGGAAATAACTAACTTACCACCAGTTTTAAGGAAAAACAAGTCTGAGGATGCCTGGAAATGGCTTACACTAACTTACTTAGGCTGGGTAGACCGAGATAATGCAGCCCCTCTTGGCTTCTTTGGAAGGTTTTTATTAGTTTTTTAACAAAGGTGTATATGCAAAAGGTAGGGTTGAAATAATCCCAAGTTGCCAGGAAGAGTGGATAGAGAGAAGCCAGGGGTTAGTAAAATAGCCAGTGGTGTACGCAGATGGAAGGAAAAGCCAGTTCTATTCAGGTATGTGAAGTAGACCAGGGTTTTTCAGTTATTTTGAGACAGAGTTTTTACTATGTCGCCCTCGGTAGAGTGCCGTGGTGTCACAGCTTACAGCAACCTCAAACTCTTGCTCTTAAGCAATTCTCTTGCTTCAGCCTCCTGAGTAGCTGGGACCACCGGTGCCTGCTACAACACTCAGGCATTTTTTGGTTGCAGTTGTCATTGTTGTTTGGCAGGCCCAGGCTGCATTTGAACCCACCAGCTCTGGTGTTTATGGCTGGCACCCTAGCTGCTGAGCTATAGGCACTGAGCCCAGGTTTTGTAGTTTATATATCAAAGAGTTTAAATTTTTTCTAGCTGTTGACTTTTAAATGCTTGGGCCTAATCTGTCCAGACCAAGTGGACCAGGCTGGTGGGTGCCTCCAGATTCTTTTCTAAAGAACCTGCAGAGATTGCTTGTCTGCAGGCATATTCCCTGGTTACTCCAAAATTGAGGCGGGGCACTCTGCTGAGAAGTCAACTTACCTACTTCTCATATAAAGCCACCAACCAGAGAGTATTCCTGGTAATATTTGTACCTTTTCGTCTTTTTGTCTCTATGCATACTTAATTTTTTTAGGAATTTTGAACATATGTTATAGATATATAAAAAGCATGAGGCCTTAATATTAGGCCTTAGAATAAAAATTTGGTCAAGGGCTGGGCACGATGGCTCACGCCTATAATCCTAGCACTCTGGGAGACTGAGGCAGGTGGATTGCTTGAGCTCATGGGTTTGAGACCAGCCTGAGCCAGAGTGAGACCTCGTCTCTAAAAATAGCCAGGTGTTGTGTTGGCACTTATAGTCCCAGCTGGTTGGGAGGCTGAGATAAGAGAATTGCTTAAGCCCAAGAGTTTGAGGTTGCTGTGAGCTATGATGCCATGGCACTTTACCCAGGGCGAGAAAGTAAGACTGTGTCTCACATAAATAAATAAATAAATAAATAAAAATTTTGGCAAAACTGATTATCAGGGAAAGAAATAGGTAAAAACATTTTTTTTTTGGGAGACAGATTCTCACTTTGTCACCCATGTTAGAGTGCTGTGGTGTCACACAGCTCATAGCAACCTCCAACTTCTGGGCTTAGGTGGTTCTCTTGCCTCAGCCTCCCGAGTAGCTGGGAGTACAGGCGCCTGCCAAAACACCCGGCTATTTTTTTGTTGCAGTTTGGCTGGGGCTGGGTTTGAACCCTCCACCCTTGGTATATGGGGCCCGCGCCCTACCCACTGAGCTACAGGCACCGCCCCTGGCTATTTTTTTTTTTAAGAGACAGGGTCTAGCTCTTGTTCAGGCTGGTCCCGAACTTGTGAGCTCAGGTGATCCGCCCACCTGGGCCTCCCAAATGCTGAGATTACAGATGTGAGCCACCTAGCCCCACCTGTGCCTGGCTCTTTAGTTGATCTTTTATTCATTAGTTATTTTCACTAAACTGAACTCAATCATGTAGATGTTAACAAAGAAAAAGGCCACAGGTTCTTGTCTCTCTTTAGCTGAAATCTGAGAACAGCACCTTTAATTCATTTAGCTTTTTAATATTTCTAGTATAGGAAATAAGTTTTACATTTAAAAAGATTTGCTCAGCTGGGCATGGTGGCTTATGGCTGTAATCCTAGCTCTCTGAGAGGCCAAGGTGGATGGATTGCATAAGCTCAGGAGTTCAAGACTATATTGAACAAGAACAAGACCCCATATCTACTAAAAAAAGAAACCAAATAGAAAAACTAGCTAGGTGTAGTGATGCACAGCTATAGTCTCAGCCTGTGGTCTCAGCTACTCGGGAGGCTGAGAGGATCGCGTCAGCCTAAGAGTTTGAGGTTGCTGTGAACTATGTATGATACCATGGCACTTTACCCAGGGAGGCAGAGTGAGACTCTTATAAAAAAAGATTTGCTGGCTCAGCACCCTTAGCACAGTGGTTATAGTGCTGGCCATGTGTACCGAGGCTGGCGGGTTTGAACTTGGCCTGGGCCTCCTAAACAACAATGACAACAACCACCACCACAACAGAAATAGCTGGGTATTATGGTGGGTGCCTGTAGTCCCAGCTACTTGGGAGGCTGAGGCCAGAGGATTGCTTAAGCCC